AGAAAAGAAAAAAAAAAGTCATCTAAGTTATTAACCTGCAATAAATGGATTTTAAAAATGTAATGAAGCACACCACGTGCTTTGGAAAATCATACCTCACACTGAGCCAGGAAGAAACATCTAGACACACTATCTCTTCACACAAGCCCAAGTATCACTGTGATTTTTAAAATATGGCATAATTAGAGATAGAAATAAATAGCTCAAGAGAATTCATAGTGAACATTTAAAACATTTAATGTGGATGCAACATAGACTGCAGATTAGGCCACAGAATTCAGAGTCAGACTTGCATTAAAAGCATAGCTCTTCCTCTTGCTAGACATTGTGATGTTGGGCCTGTTAATTAATGGGAGTAATATCAACCTCCTAAAATTTTGTGAAAATGAAATATGATAAGGTACATAAAGTTCTTGGCATATAGTATGTAGTTTAAATGATTAACATGAAAATAAGGCTCAGAAGAAAGGAACAGGGATGTACATTCCACAGCATAATCTGTCAGAATGACTTCATATCCTAATCTTTAGATTTTTTGACACAGTGGGCTTCATCTTATTAGAAGGATCTATTTTTTTTTTTTTTTTTTTTTTTGAGATAGAGTCTCTCTCTGTTACCCAGGCTGGAGTGCAGTGGCACGATCTCAGCTGACTGCAACCTCCGCCTTATTAGCAGCTGGGATTATAGGCACCTGCCAACACTCCTGACTACTTTTTGTATTTTTAGTAGAGACGGGGTTTCACCATGTTGGCTAGCCTGGTTTGAAACTCCTGGCCTCAGTGATCTGCTCACCTTGACCTCCCAAAGTGCTGGGGTTATAGGTGTGAGCCACCGTGCCCGGCCCAGAAGGCTCTAAAATCTTTACTGTACAATATGTAGAAAAATAGAAGCACTTTCACTAGTGGATGCAAAGTGTGAGAAGGCGGATGAAAACATTCATAGGGTAAGACTGGTCACAGTGTTACATGAAAAATCAGACTTTTTTGATAATTTAAAAATTCTCTATCATAGAAGTGACAGAACCGGCTAGGTGCGGTGGCTCATGCCTGTAATCCCAGCACTTTAGGAGGCCGAGGCGGGTGGATCACCTGAGGTTAGGCATTTGAGACCAGCCTGACCAAC